GCGGAGGAGACCTACGCCGCCGTCGCGCCGCACGAGGTTGCTTCCGTCTCGCTCCCCGAGCACGTCCACGACGCAGCAGACGTGGCGAAGGTGCTGGGCGCTGGGGGCCGCCAGATCTTCGAGGGCTGGCAAAAGAGCATGACGCGGTCCACCGATGAGCCCAATCAGCTCAACGAGAGGCTGGGAGATAGCAAGCGTTCCTGGGATAGAAAATTGTCTCGGAATCGGGAGACATATCGGCTGCTTCTTGGACCTAGACCGTCGGGGCATGATCAGGTGGACCGCCCAGCCCATCGAACATGCCGGTTTGTTCTTGATGGGCAGGAAAGACAAGCCCCTGAGGCTCATCATTGACGCGCGGAGGGGGAACCGTCGATTCAGAGCCCCTCCACGCACCGACCTCATCACGAGCGAGGGGCGGCCCAGGATAGAGTGCGAGCCTGGCTTCAAGGACCAGGGCTGCGGTTTTACTTTGGGAGTCGGCGATGTGGAGAAATGCTGTCATCGATTGCGCTTCCCGAGGCTATGCATCGGTGCTTCGCTCTGCGGCCGATCTCTGCGAAGTACACGCCGCTGCGGGGCGTCGCGGATCGCGGCGACCCCGTGCATCCCTGACTGGCGTCGGTCTCCCTGGGATTTACGTGGTCTCTGTCTGTGGGTTGCCCAGAGGTGCAGCGTGGCGGTGCTTCATAGAGTGCCGCGTCTTGGGCTGGGTAGGAGAGTTCCCGGCCGCGCCGAGCCGATTGCGTTGCAGAAGGGGGCCGACGTGCGCTGCGCCTTGTATGTCGACCACCTGGACATCGTCGGGGCTGCGCAGCCCTTGGCGCGGTCGGCCTGAGGACGCACGAGCGCGAGTTTAAGGTGGCAGGGGGCGAGGCACTAGGTCGCGCAATGGACGGTCGCTGGCTTGAGGCGCAGGTCTACCCAGAAGCGGAGGTGGCGCATTGATGGGGCGTGTCGCCGGGCCCTCCGGCGCCGTCGTCTCAGCGGAAAGCAGGTGGGGGGGCTCATCGGCCACGCCGCATTCGTTCGCCTGTTGGATCGGACGGCCCTGACTGTGTTCAAAGCCTGCTATGCCTTTACCCGCCGATGCGGCGACTCCGCGGCCGTCGCGTGGCCAACCGTGCGGCGGGGGCTCCAGGAATTCATCGGCCTCCTGCCCCTTGCGCGTGCACCGTGGGATCTGTCCTGGTGCGAGACAGCAGTTGCCACAGTTGCCCCCCTCGAGGGATGGGGGCACTGCCGTTGCGCATTGACGGCCAAAGCAGTGGCCGGCATCGCTCGCACCTCAGAGGCATCGCGTTTTCGGCGCGCGCGCAGCCTGGGAGCTCGCGAGGCAGCGAGCGCAGCATTGTATCCTGTGATTGATGACGAGGACCATCATCATCCGCCGCCGTCCGACGACATCGCCAGCATCATCGACATCGGAGAGACCTTGCCGATCTGTTCTGGGGGAGAGGTCTGTTTCTGGAGGCGCCGTTCGGGGAAGGGGGCCTCTTCTCGGCCCCGGGCCGCACCGCCGAAAGCGATTTGATATCACTTTGGAGAGTTACTGACAAAGGCCAATGGAAGTTCGGAGAACGCGTCCTGGAGCTCGAAGCCCGAGCGCCGGTTCTTGGCCTGGAGAGCTCGATCGCCACACGGGCCCGAGACAGTCGAAATCTGTTCTTGGTGGACAATGCTGCCGCTACTCTGTCAGTCGCTCGGGGTAGGTGTAAGAACTATGCTGTGTTGCAGCAAATCCGACGCTTTTGTGCCCTATGTCTTATTCGCAATATCCGCCCGTATTTCCGTTGGATCAGGTCGGAGTCGTTAACCCGGTTGACGATCCCTCGCGGGGCGCCGAGGGAAGCGGGCCGTGGGCGGGTCACAGCAGCCGCCGAGCGGACAGCCCGAGCCAAGCGGCGTGCCCGCCTGATCCCGCCCGCGTCGGCGAAGCCAGTGCCGCCCGCCGTTTTCAGAGGCGCGGGCCGCTGAGCCCGCCGTCCTCGCAGCCGACGCCCTCGTCGTCGGCGCGGAGACGGAACGGACATCGAGTGGCTGCGCTAGTCCCGCTGGACACGCGCGCCGCCGAAGCTGAGCGACAGGGCAGTGGGGGAGGCGCTGGCAGGGCCGCTGATCGCGATCGACCACGCGGTGGCCGGCGACGACCCGTCGGCCGTGGCGGAGGGCTCAAACAGCAACGACCTGGGCCAGGCCGCGGAGACGCGCGGCAAGCAGGGGCGGATCAAGAATCTGACCGAGCCCTGCTCGCCATGGACCAGCTGGGCGCCCTGCTCATATCCGAGGCCGCGCGGCCGAAGACCAAGGACTACTACCGCCCCCTGGTCTCCCAGCTCCACTACTGGGCCAAGCTGCGCAGGCTGGGCCCCCGTCCGCCAGGCCGATGGGATGGGGCGCTGCGCGCCCGCATGACATAGCTGTTCCTGTCTGGCCGGCGGACGAATGTGGGGCAGAAGCTGTCCGCTGGTACCCCGCGCGTCCCTGTGGAGCCGCTCGGAGTGAGCTGCTGCCACGTCGTGGCGCCCATCGGATCATTCTCTCGACGCTGGCCCCTGCTGCTGGCGCCGGAGGAGCTGGGCATCCCCGCAGAGGTCGGCAGGGGGGGCGATAGCTTCCAGCTGGACTCGAGGGCGCTCAAGTGGCTGCACGCGGTTCGGGGGCAGATCAACGCAAGGCTGGCTGCGGAGCGTGCCTTCCCGCTTCGTACCAGGGCTCGCTAGTCGACGTGCAGGCCGCGGAGGTGGCGCTCGGATCGAGTCTCGTGCCCTGCCAGCTTCGCCGGAGCGGGGCCTCGAAGCACAGGCTCCAGAACCTCCGTCGTTTGCCCGACGTAATGAGACGAGGCCGTTGGCGAGCGTTGAAGTCAGTTGCTCGGTGACAAAAGGCATGCTCGAGTAGGTCTGGAGTTCGAGAGACTAGGCGCCCTGGCCAAAAGCCATTGCGTTCGCTGCGCATCGCCGCTCGCGGATGTGCACCTAGGCAAGCGTGCCCCTCGAGTCGTCGGTCGACGGCATGCGTGAATAAGTCGCACGTTGCAGACAGTGTTTCGGGTTTCGGGGTGGTAAGCAAGATAGTTCGTCTGGCCGGTTTTTGCGCCCGCGAGTGGGACCTACTCCACGGGCCCTCGGGTGACGTGTGTGATCCCAAGGTTGGGCCTATCAGACAGGATCTCGCTAGTGGCCGCTGTGTCGGTTTAGTGCTCGCCCCCCCCCCCCTCCCCCCCTGCAGCTTCTGGTCAGCCGCTCGAGATCGAACGTGCCCGATTCGCTCTCGTAGACTTGTTAGGCGGGTCCCGGGTCTGAGAGCCAGCGATCTGGCCAAGGTTGCCGTCGGGAGCGCCACGCTGGACGCAACTCTTGACCTGGCCAAAGCTTCTCAGGCAGCTGGGGTCCTTTGGGTTCTCGAGAACCCGCGCGCGTCTAAGATGTGGTATGGTCATAAATTTAGGACCCTTGTATCGCGTCGGCGTAGTCACGCTGTCCCTGTTGTTTCGGATGACTGTCAATGCAGGGAGCCTCGGCGGAGAAGGATTCGTTTTTTAGTTGGCAATGTTTGTCCAGACGACCTGTCTAAACTCAATAGGGTTTGCTCTGGACGCAGAGTCTGTAGCCGCTCGGGTCGACCCCGCCAGCATGTAGAAGGAACCGGGCCAGGTGGAGTTCGGTGGGCGCTCTTCGCGGTGCCTTTCCTTGCGCCGTTGGCCCGCGTGCTGGCTTCCAGTCTAGTCTCGAAAGCCCGCTGTGGTTATATTAGATGATATTCTCATTCTACCTGCGGATCGGGAGGTTTGGGGGTGTTTTCAGCTCAGCTTCAGAATCTTCTCAGCTCGCTCGCTGTGTGTTTTTTCGGGGCTCTTGTGCCCCTCGTCCGCCCGCTCTATGACGAAGCGGCCGCGGCACAATGTGGAGCGCTGGCGCAGAAGAATCGTCAGCAAGGTAAGGCCCAGGTCGTTTCTCCTGGGCGCGCGTGCGCGTGAAGGGGGGAGGTTCTGGGCCGCAACCGTGCGGCTCAAGCCTGTCTTCGCCTCCCAGAGCCAGCCCACAGCCTCGGTTCCCACGGGTGTTATTGGCTCCGGAATCTTCTCAGTTCGTTCGCTGTGTTTGTTTTTCGGGGCTCTTGTGCTCGCCGTCCGCCCACTCTGTGACACTCTGTGACGAAGCGGCCGTGGCACTCCCCCTTTTCCTCTTCCTCTTCCTCCTCCTCCTCCTCCTCCTCCTCCTCCTCCTCCTCCTCCTCCTCCTCCTCCTCCTCCTCCTCCTCCTCCTCCTCCTCCTCCCCCCCCCCCTCGGGTCGCTTGTGGCCCGGGGGAAACCGCGCAGTTCCGGGGTGCCGGCGAAGGCGGCCCCGGCCCGACGTGCCCCCAGCTCTCGGGCCGCCACGGCGCTTCCGGAGCCCCCCAGGAGGGCGTGCAGCGTCTTTCGCGGGCCCTCCGGAGACGGGGGGACCCTGCTGCTGCTGCTGTTCCTCCTGCTCGATCGTCGGTCCTCTTCCTGCTCGATCCTCGGTCCTCCTCCGCCTCGGTCCTCCATCCTCTTCCTCCTCGAGCCTCTGGAGCCTCTGGATCCTACAGGGGGCGTGCAGTGCCCAGCGCGGGCCATCCGGAGACCGGGGGGCCCTGCTGCTGCTGCTGCTGCTGCTGCTGCTGCTGTCGGAGCCTAAGAGATGGGGGGCAACGCAGAAGGGGGTCAGCCAGGGCACTGGATCCTGCGAAGGCCCCCTCTGGCCCACCCGGGTTAAAGCGAACCGCTCGTGGCCGCAAGGTTGCCGCGCACATTTTGGCTGGCCCGAGTTTGCGAAGCCCTGCGTTGCAGTTTTTTTCCTGCATGGTGTTTTTTTGCTTTCCTGCTGGCCCGGTTCTGATTGATCCGGGTTAGCAGATCCCCGATGCTGGTCTTTCTGCTCGATTTTCGATCCTCGACCCTCCTGTCCTCCTCCAGTTCCTCCTCGATCCGTGCGTCCGCGAGCGCCTTTCTCGCTGCCGCCCGCCTCCTCCCCAGGGAAAGATAAGGAGAAGGAGAAGAGCGGCGGCGGCTGGCGCGCCCGCGGCACCCGAGCAGAGCGCGCCGAAACGACAGAACCAGAGCGCCGAAGGGCTGAACGCAGCTCGGAAAACTGGTGCGTTTGGACCCCGGGAGGGGTCCTGTGACCGATTTTGAGATGCGGTTGTCTCAATTGGCCCTGCTCCGAGTGGTGCGAGAAGGTTTGAGCGCGTCGGAGGAGGAGGAGGAGGAGGAGGAGGAGGAGGAATAACAAATTGCGTAATCAAAGCTGTCGGAGCTCCGCGCGGATTTCTTGGAGCTGCGCTGGGTCTCCCTGGCGACGCCTCTGGCCGAAAGGCCATTGCCCTACCACATAGAACGACAAGCCCGCACTGTACACCTTAGGCGATGCTTATGAAAACCCAAGTTTTCGGCCAGAGTCTCGATTATTCTGAACGTTTCAATGTAAATCCTAAGATTTTAATAGAAATGTTGGGTTTTTATTCAAGTTCTGAGACTATGAATTTCTTAACCCATGATTTCTTAAGCATTTCGCAGGGTGTAGGAAGACTCCTTCAGTCGTTGCCCTCTCTCGAGGAAGGACGAACTACATGAGCATGACCTTTCGGAGCTCCGCGCGGATTTCTTGGATCGGCGTTGGGGCTCCACTGGCAGCGCCTCCAGCGACGTCCCTTGCGCGCTCCGCGCGCCAAGGAGGGTGGTTCAGTGCAGACCCAAGAACTCCCCGCGACCCGTCGAACGCCTAACATTATGCCTATGCCGCTTTTTCTCTTTCGCGGAGGCATCACAGCAACAGTGCTGCACTGAGTTGCGCAGCGTTGCATTAGTGCAGCAGCGGCCTTGATCCCTCTGGATTGGGTCTGCGATCTTTTCCGCGAGGAGGGGGGTGATGGGGGAGGGGGGAGGAGGAGGGGGAGGAGGAGGAGGGGGAGGAGGAGGAGGAAGAGGAGGAGGAGGACGAGGAGGAGGAGGAGGAGGAGGAGGAGGAGGCGGAGGAGGGGGAGAAGGAGGCCTTGATCCCTCTGGATTGGGTCTGCGATCTTTTCCGCGAGCTCTTTCCAGGTGGCTCGTGGTGCGAACGGCACGCGCGCGGGCCAACAGAGTCAGAGTATGGAGCCATGGGGACGGTACGTACAGCATGTCGCGAGGGGGGGTCCTCTTCCTCCTCCTCCTCCTCCTCCTCCTCCTCCTCCTCCCTCCTCCCCCTCCTCCCTTCTCCTCCTCCTCCTCCTCCTCCTTGCCCTCCGCCCGCGAGACAGCCTAGGCGATGCTTAAGGAAACTGAAGTTTTCGGCGAGAGTCTCGATTATTCTTAATGCTTCAATGTAAATCCTAAGATTTGAATAGAAATTCTTGGGTTTTACTCACGTTCTGAGACTATGAATTTCTTAACCCATGATTTCTTAAGCATTTCGCAGGGTGTACAGCATGTCGCGAGGGGGGGGTCCTCCTGGCGCAGCACGTTCAAGGAATGGGTCGCCATGGGGAACGAGGACTGCACAGTACACATCTGGAGATTTCGACCCTTGGAGCGGAGTGCTCAAAACAACTCGCGAAATCAGCATCAAAACTGGGTGATCCAGAACAACGTCAGTTGAAGCATACCGTATCTCACATTGGATTCCAGCCAGGTTCGGTCCACATTTGCTCAGCGATGGTCTGTAACATGTTTTGGTTGAGAAGACTAGATCTACCTGTGCCTCCACAGGTTGTGTGTCTGATTTGGGTTCAAGCCAGGGTCGGGTCATGTTGGCTCAGCCGCAGCCCATCTTTTGCAAATTGAGACGCCAAGCCGAAGCCTGTACCCCCCCATGGCTGGGTCTGACCTGGTTCAATGCAGGGCCAGTCCACAGTTGCTCAGCTTCGGTAATTACGGTTTTTGAACTGAGACCGTTTTTTCATGCCTGGTCCCCAAGTCTGTGTTGGATTTTCGCGTTATCGCTTTCGCGGGCCTCCGAGAGCCTAAGAGGGCCCAAGGGCCTCCCGGATGGCTCCAAGAGGACCCCAATAGGGCCCGAGGATTGTCCAGGAGGGCCTCACAAGAGCCCAAGGGGCTTCGAACACCGCCCAGGAGGATACCCAGAGAGCCCCAAGAGGACCATCAGACCATACGAGAAACGCCAAGAGGGTGGCAAGGGGCAGGGGGAGGCTCATCAAGCTGGCGACTCTGTGCGAAGAGAAGTCTGCGTCCTGAGGCAACAAATATATCAATGGGATAATGCAGGGCAAGCGCCCCAAGCCAGGAAAGTCCTGGCCCAGTCCCCCTCGTGCTGAAGAGACTGGATGCCACCCTGGCACTACAGTGCAGAATTCGTTCGTTAAGCAGCCCCGCGAGTGATTTTGCGTTGTGGGGCGCCCCCCCACCAGTGGGGTGTTTCTGAGCCAACTGTGTCATCGATTCTGACATCTTGGCATCGCTCGGATGTGTGCATTTTATCTCGGCGGGAACCATCGAAGACTATCCTGGACCATCGAGCAAAACAACACGCACGAAACCGAAGTGCACGGGAAATGGACGTCCGAGCGACGGCAAGGACATGGGCCTGCTGCAAGATCTTGTAATTTTCTTCTGCTCACCCGCCCCCCTCCTGCCCTTCCTCTCCATCCTCCTTCCTCATCTGCCTCCCCCCCTCCTCCTCCTCCTCCTCCTCCTCCTCCTCCTCCTCCTCCTCCTCCTCCTCCTCCTCCCCTCATCCGATTGCGCATGCCACGATTGTTGTTTGTTTGTTTTGTTTTGATTTCAGGTTCCAGGTCGACTGTGGCATGCGTCCGCACATATAGAAGTTGTCAGCGCAACGGGAAGGGATGGGGGGAGGGATAGGATGTCAGACATGGCTCGAGCGCGCCTAGCTTGCCTTACCCCCTCTCCCTTTCCCTCGTCTCCCCCATCGCCTTCTCCACTCCCCTGGTGTCAGGAGGGGGGAGGACAGGGAGAAGGAGGGGGAAAATGAGGGGGGAGAGGGGAGATGTTGGGAAATCCTCTCTCAGAAGGTTGCCTCGCGTGGTTCTTAGATTAAGACTGTCGCGTGAGACGTTGACACGTACGTTGTGCTTCGTTTCCTCCGTCCTCTTCTTCTTTCAGGGCCAGGCTATCTCTGTTTTTGTCTCCCCCTGGCCCTTCTGTTTTCAGTGCCACTCCCGCCTTTCTTACACACCTTGCTGTGTCTCCGCTACTTGCTTCTAACATCCACGCCACGTTGTCATTCCCCTCTCCACCCACTTCTCCTCCTTTTGCCCAGTCCCCGCCCCTGCCACTTTGGCTGTCTTCTTCTGTCCCCGATCGCGCTTTCCTGCTCGCGCGCGTCTCTTCATTGCCTCCGTCTCTTCCCCCCGCTCCCCCCCTCTCCTTGACGCCTAGCCCCTCTCCAACCCCCCATGCCCAGTCCCCCTCTCCACCCGGCGCTTTGCTGCGGCGTTGCTCGGGCAGTCTGGCGGAGTGAGGGGCGGGCGGTGTACGGCCAGGCTTGAGAAATCGACCATCAGCAGCCCCATTCTGACGCTGAACCACCAGCTTGCGGACTACCCCACGTGCCCCCTCCTGTTGTTGACCCGAATGCACAACACGTGTGCGCAGGGCAGCTCCCGAGAGGTGGACGGCCGTGAGGAGCAAGGCCAGGGGGACGATGACGATGATTCTGATGATTATGCTGCTGCTGCTGCTGATGATGATGATGATGATGATGATGATGGTGGTGATGGTGGTGGTCATGGTGATGATGAGGAGGAGGAGAATGATATGAGGATGATGTTGTTGATGATGATGATGCTGGTTATCATTATGATGAGTATGATGATGTTGATGATGCTGATGGTGATGCTGGTAGTAATGATGAGCATGAGGATGAGGATGATGATGCTGATGATGATGCTGATGGTGATGGTGATGCTCATGGTGATAGTGATGGTGATGGTGGTGATGATGATGCTGATGACGATGATGATGGTAAGGCTGATGCTGATGATGATGCGGCTGCTGATGATGTTGCTGATGATGGTGATGATTGTGGTGGTGATGGTGATGATGATGATGTTGATGATGATGGTGACGATGATTATGCTGATGATGCTGATGATGATGGCTATGATGCTGATGATGCTAATGATGATGCTGATGCTGATGCTGATCCTAACGATGATGCTGATCATTGTGTTGATGATGCTGGTGATGGTGATGACGATGATGACGATGCTGAGGGTGATGGTGATGATGACGATGAGGAGGAGGAGGAGGAGGAGGAGGAGGAGGAGGAGGATGCTGATGATTGTGGTGGTGGTGAAGGCGATGGCGACATTGATGGTGATAGCATCATGAGGAGAAGGAGGAGAAGGAGAAGGAGGAGGGTGCTGATCAGTGTAAACCCAAGACCCATCCACGATAGTTCAATAAACCTCCCTCCAAGTTCCTTGACATGCCCCATACAAAGGGTTTATTTTCACAAGGGGAAGTGCCCCGTTGGACGACACCCGTTTGGAAATCTTGAACTGTGCCAGGACTCCAACGGCCCGAATCACCGTTACTGTTGCCGTCCTTGGGGCTTCGACACCGCGAATTCACGTGAGTGCTGCGCCCTGACAGCCCGACATCGTGCCACAACAATCTTTGGAGCTGCTGGACATTATTACATAGAATGCGCGCGACGCCCACGCGAGAGCCACATCTTGAAAGTGGACCGCCCTCCATCCGTGAAACTCCTCCAGTTTTTAAGACGAATGTGCGCGGCGCCCAGGCAAGAGCCACATCTTGACAGTGGACCGCCCTCCACCCGTGAAGTTCGTTCACTCCCCACATGCATAGTGGGGTTCTGGTTCTCTTTCCTTGCCGCGTCGCACCCGCGTTTCTCCTCTTCCTCCTCGCCCCTCCCTCCCTCTTCCCTCCACACATCCAGGGGCTGGTGTGATGATTCCCTCTCTCTTTTTCTGGTTCCCCACATCAGCACAAGCAGACACGTGAGCACACAGCAGACACACATCCACAGTCGACATCACAGTCATCACATACATCCACCATGCACGCAGCACACAGACACACAGCACACAAACGGCACTCGTACACACTACCAGCCCAAACAGACACAGCACGCACACGCAGCAAACAGGCAAACAGCACACAGACGTGCAGGGGGTGGTCTCTCACCGCGGTTCTCTATCCGTCTCAGGGTCGCGGGGCGTGGCAGGCGTGGCACTTTCTCGACGCCAGAGAGGGTGCGCAGGGGGTGGTCTCTCACTGGTCTCTCTATCCGTCTCAGGGTCGCGGGGCGTGGCAGGCGTGGCACTTTCTCGACACCAGAGAGGGTGCGCAGGGGGTGGTCTCTCACTGGTCTCTCTATCTGTCTCAGGGTCGCGGGGCGTGGCAGGCGTGGCACTTTCTCGACACCAGAGAGGGTGCACAGAGGGTCGTTTCTCATTGGTCTCTCTATCCGTCTCAGGGTCGCGGGGCGTGGCAGGCGTGGCACTTTCTCGACACCAGAGGGGGTGCGCAGAGGGTCGTTTCTCATTGGTCTCTCTATCCGTCTCAGGGTCGCGGGGCGTGGCAGGCGTGGCACTTTCTCGACACCAGAGGGGGTGCGCAGGGGGTGGTCCGTCACCGCGGATTCTATCCGTCCCAGGGTCGCGGGGCGTGGCAGGCGTGGCATTTTCTCCGCGCCACAGGGGGTGCGTAGGGGGCAGGTATCGCGGGTGCAGTCCATCAGTTGCACTTGCATGGGTTTGCGCAGTATCCAGATCTGTAAGTACTCTGGCTCAAGCCAGCTCGGAGCGCCAGGGTACCTAACCAAAGGCCGCAGTTGGTTGTTGCGCAGGCGCGCTAGCCATGCCGCCTAAAATTGCCATGGGCGAGCTGCCGCCTCCGTGCTCGTCGCTGAAGAAAGAAATGATTCAGAATGGCGGCGAGGTAAGCTTGGCAGGCTTACGCTGCTGCTCTGAAGCGACGGTGGTCCCCGCATTTCACGCGTACCGCCGCCAGCTGAAAAATTGGTGGCCCAATACCTTGCACGTCCAGGGCACAGCGGCATCGGCGGGGCAACGGCCACCAACATCATTCTCACATGCTGCACTTCAGCTCTCATCACTCCAGCCATTATATAAGTATGTGGGTTCCTCGGTAGCGTAATTCGTTTTAGCGAATGTGCGCGGCGCCTAGGCCAGAGCCACATCTTGACAGTGGACCGCCCTCCATCCGCGAAGCCCGTTCAATCTTTTAAAACGAATGTGCGCGACGTTAAGGCGAGAGTCACATTTTGAAAGCGGACCGCCTCTCATCTTTGAAACCCTTTTTTATGCGAATGTGGGCGGCGCAAGGGCGAAAGCCACATTTTGTATGCGGACCGCCCCTCCATTCGTGAAGCTTTTTCAAGTTTGTCCTGGCGAATGTGCGCGGCGCTCAGGCGAGAGCCGCATTTTGAAAACCACTCGCCCTCCTTCCGTGGATTTGGATCAGGATCCTCCGTCCGCCCACCCTGCATTTTGCATGCGCCGGGAGCAAGCGTAGAGACGCAGTGTCAGGCGAAACGCCCGGCCCGCCCATTCGACCAGCCTCCATGTGCGGCAGGGGGGAGTTATTCATAAGGAACAGGAACCGACGAGGGGGAGGAGGAGGAAGACGACGATGAAGACGATGCAGAGGAGGAACAGGAGTATCAGAAAGTGTAGGCTGCTTTGGATATGACGCGAAATTGGTGACGGCACCGCTGAGTGCGAAGCTTGAGGTGAATACTTAGGGTGAAGGGGGAGCTGGAAATGAAATTGCGGGTAGCCGTAACAGTGATGGGCGCGACCGCACAAGGCATATTATATTTCATATAATATTTCATCAGTTCGCAATTACTTACCACTGGCCAGCACGCCCCGTTGTCATTCTTTTGTCGCAGGGCGCAGTGGGCGCTGCACTGTGTGGGGGAGTGAGGGGGGCCTCTTGTGCCTGCGGGGGCTGAAAATCAGTATCAACTGCCTCGGTGGCCGAGACGTCGCACGCCGCGACATCATCTGCGGCCTGTGCGCTCCGATAGCCTAGCACACAGTGAGTGTTCATCAGGTCAGGCACGGGAGACGCGGCGAACAGCAGAAGGTAAGTCTGGTCGGCAACCATGCGAAACCCTCTGCAATATTCGGAAATGATTCACAATTGATTCGCAATTGATGCATTCGCAATCGAACACAGCACAATAAATTCATCCGCGTTTGATTCACAGCGCGTTCTAAGGTGATCAACTCGCCCTTCCAGCTTTCAGATATCCTACACTCTTCCGTTCACCGAACACCCTTACCCTGTTGACGGTCAAAAAGTATCCGTTCAAGTCGGCGGCCATGCGGTGCGCCTCGTTCTCAGAAGGACGCGTAACGTCGCGGCCGTCGCCACGGCCTTGGCTTGTCAGAGTCGCCCTCCCGTGGCTGCACGTCCATCCCTCGGGTAAAGCCCGCCCTATATGTCCAAGAGGCGCTGGCCGTGCAGAGGAAGAACAGTTCGGCCTCATCTTGGGTGATCCACTGCCCTGCCAGGGGCGCGTGTGCCCGCTTAATCCCTGGCGCCCGGTGGGCCACGACTGCAGCTGCGTGTTACTCGTCAGCATCGTCTGGACCCTCAGTGTGTCCTGGAAACACGGCAGGACTGTTTTTCAACCAGTTTCAGAAAGTTGCCTTTCGATCGTGATAATGGCAAACAGCGGTACACCGAAACGATAGAAATTGTTCTGGGCAACGGCTTGGGCAGTTCAGGGACCCGAAGGACGTTCGGAACCCGCTCGAAAGCGGTTCGGGTTCGGATCCAGGGGAAACGAACACGGTAAAACAACGGCGCCGGAAACGTGATCAAGACGGCGCCGGAACAACGAAAACGGTAACAAAAATGCCCTGACGTTTCCAGGCCTGCTAAGGTCTAGCGTATCCGCATCCCCACTGGTCCATGGTGTCTCAGCCGCTGCCCTGCCAGCCCACCCTCCCAGGTGAACATCGGCCCCGCGAAACATGAAGAAACAGGCATCTGTCCCCCCCCCACCCAGGCGGGCAAGGCAGCAAGTGGGGCCAAGGCCACGCCAGCAGGGATAGGGATCGCGTAAACGGTACGCAGCTCGGGCCGAGATTGGGCCGCATGTCGCTCACTGGAGCGCTCACGCCGGATCTCGGGGCCCACTTGGCAGGCGTGGACCACCTGCGCGGCTCGTGGACGCTGCAGCAGCTTCCGCTGGCGTTGCAGTTTTTCACACTGGGCGTTCTCGTTCGGACTCGGGCCCTGGGAGCACAGATCGGTCTGGCTCGAAGCATGCAACAGACGATGGGGTCCAGGGGTCTGGTCGTGATTGTTCGCGGCGTTGCATTTGGTGCGCAACGTGGGATCCCAGGGCACCCTGACCTTCCTGATGACGCCAGAGGCCGAACGAGTTTGGCGTTCTCTGTTGGTGGCCGCCCCCTCCCCTCTCCTCTCGCTCTTCTCCAGTCGTGCCGTTACGGCACCGTGCCGAGCGATTCCTGATACTCTTTGCCATCGTCGTCTGCCTTGCTCTTGGCATCGCTCGGACGTGTGCATTTTTCCTTCGGCGAGAACCATCGAGGAGCATCCTTGATCTTTTGGTGAAAAAACCACGCACGAAACCGAAACAAACACAGGGAATGGACGTCCGAGCGATGGCCAGTTGCTCATCTCCTCAGAACATGCGCTGCGGCCGTCGTGGGCCCAAGCCCTCTGCAGTGAATCTTGAGGATCTATCCCGTAAGACGGTTAGCATTCATCACGCCAGGCTTTGTTTCACGTAATGCCCAAGTCAAGTCTATACGTTCTGAGCAGGGGATCGTGAGTCATCTGAAGGACCGACGAAACGTCGTCTTACCCCTACTCCTTCAACCCCCACCCTCCCCCCTTCGGTCTGACGGCAGGCAACGGCGATCGGCGCCCGTCGCTGTTGTAAGCCTCGCTGGGCGACACATAAGGGAACCCCAGGTCGGCTTCGCGCTTCGCGCATCGCTGCTTGGGTCGGGGAGGCAACCTTCTCCGGGGCGGCGGCGGCAAATATAACCGCACGTCGCTCATCGCGGGGCGCCACGCGCGAGCTTCGGCGACCTAGGCAACGAGGACCTCGCGAGAATTCGGAGAAGCGCCTCTGCCAAAGTCTCCCAGGGACCCCCAGAGCGCCGCGGGCTGCCAGAAGGATCCCGGATCTCGAGGGCCCCGCCTTGCGGGTGCCCAGGGCGCACCTGTCCAACTAAGGCCCCGCCCTCCACTCCATCGGGGAAACGTAAGACTCGAGCAAGGCGGAACTCGGGTCTGCCGATGTTTTTTGGCGAGTGCGTCCTGGAATTGACCGTCCTGTTTTCGTGGGATGTTTGCAGCGGGAGCTCGCGTCAAATTTCAGACTGGGTCTCGTCGTTTTCATTGATGGCCCCGTCAGGCCAAACCGGGTGCCCCGAACCAGAGTCTTACGTCTCCCCGACTCCAGGGTCTAGATCGATCCGATCAATCTGATTCGATGCCGACTCTGGGTAGCGCGATCCTTTCCGACTCCGACTTCCTGGCGGTCCGACATGGACCGACGCTTGCGTGGCGCTTTTGTGCATCCTCCCGCATCCGATCCGATTCGATTCCGACCTCGTGCAGATGCAGCCCGATCCGACGCACGTTCTAGTCCGATCCGTCTTCCGATTCGATGCTGACTGCTCCTGCCCCTACCGCGAAGGTACATGTTCTGGTCCGGGGTGGGGCTACTCTCCATCATCGTATGCTGCTCGTGCTGCGTCCGCCCGATGATGCGTCGGCGGCAAGAGGCGGGCGGGGCCTGTCGCACGCTGCCCATATGAGTTTGCAATTGAGGGAATGACTGTGGGATGGTTTGGGGTGGCATGTTCCCTCTCATCGTAGCAGTTCGCCTATGCACATGCCTCTCCAACTTACTGAATCTCTTGCTGTTCCTGTGCAAGTGTGTTCGTCGCGGCAGCCAGATGCTCGCCCTCTCGGCGGGGCGGAACCGGCCAACATGCTTTCAAGAAGCCCCCAGCAGTTTCCAAGAGGTCGAGGTCTTCCAGGGGGGCCCTCGGAGGTCGAACAGTTGGGCAAGCTATGTTTTTTAGTTGCGTTTGATGTTTGGGACGTTTCGGAACTGAAGAGCCCTCCGGTCGACTCATTCTATTGCCCATCGACGACCATGACGAGGGAGTTTCATAAAGTCGTATGGGATGCACCACTGGTGAGGCTCTGGCGTCGCGTGGTTTCGCCCTGCCTTCTGCTGTGTTGCTGTTGCTTTGCTTTGCGCCGCATTGCACTGATATTGTTGCCGTGGCCTTGAAAGTACGTTGCGTTTTCTGCGTTTTAATGCAATGCATTGCGGTGCTTGTATTGTTTGGTATTGCATTCACATTATTTTACATGGGGGGGATCTTTATAAGTGATACGTGTCTTCTCGGTCAATGTTCTTCCCAAGTCTCCCACTCATGCCAAGTGAAGTATACGTGCTCACGTGTGTTGACTTGCGAGGTGATCGGGGAACAGGTCCGCCCACAACCTAAGCGCGCAAGAATCGCGAGAGCGGTTCTAGTTCACATGTATGTATATATGTAGACGTGTCCATATGCGCGCACATGCTTACACAGGTATCGAAACATTCTAGATGTACACATACGCAAATGCACGGACGATCAAGGTTCGAGGAGGATTTGGTCTTGTGCGCCTTCAGAGTATACGCCTTCGTGCACATGTTTGTCAATGGTATATCTGTGTACGGGTATACGTGCAACATGCACGGTGTTTATCATGTGTACATATATACATATAGGTATAAGTGGATATACATGTATATAAACAAGTGTGTGTCTTCACACATTTTTCTAGTGGCCTTCGACCCATCCCGCCACCGTTCTTAGATTGTAGGTCAGAAACCTCTGGGATGCCTGTGGGGACGTCTTGAGAGGCCAATCGCAAGCCACTTGGACTCGGTGTTGGGGTGTCTTGGGGGCCTATCGGGGGTCTCTTGGGGGCTCATGGAACCTGCGTTGGGCCTCCTAGGGGTCTCCGGGGACTCTGCGGGGCCTGCTGGCGGTCTCCTATCTTGGGGAGAAGGGCTCGAACATTTCAGTTCGTATTCCCCTCTGGGGCCTCTCTTGGGCCCCTCTTGGGGTCCCATCTGGCTGCCATGGGGCCTATTGAAGTAATCTTAGGCCGTCTGGGGGCGCTCTTGGAGGCCTCTTGGAGGCCTCTTGGAGGCCTCTTGGGCTGTCTTGAGGCGATCTTGGGAGCCTCTTGGGCTGTCGCCTGGAAAGGCGAGAACACTAACATCTTTCAACAACCGATGGGCAATCAATGATTGTGGCATCTTAGGGTCCTCTTGGGGGGCCCCTTGGAGCTCTCTTGGGGCGTCTTGGGGGCCTCTTCGGCCGTCTTGGGGCGATCCTGGGTGTTTTGGAGCGCTCTTTCGGCGACTGGCCCTCTTCGGCACTTCTTGGGGCCCTTCTGGCCCCGCTGGCCCGTCATTGGGGCTCTCTGGATTCTGGAACGGTCACGCAAGGAAGCCAGAGAGCGCCTTTAAGATTCCGAATTCTTGACGGTTATTGTATCACCACCAGTTCGCATTCTTTGCGAATTAGCCACGTACCGTGACCCGGACGCCGCTTCCGCTCCCTGTCCGTTGCCTCGGAGCCGCCGACCAAAAAAAGTATCACCACCAGCTTTGTGGCTTTCTTTTTCTCTTTCGCAGGAGGCACAGCCTGCCCCTGCCTGCTCGGCGTCCGACCCTCTTCGTGCGCCTGCGAGCCAAAAAGTATCCCCACCAGCCCATCCAGACACGAGTGGGGGCTTTTCGAGGCCTCCTGGAGGCTATCATAAGCCATGCTCGGCTAGAGGCTGCCGGAGGCTATCTTGAGCCATGCTCAGCTATCTAGGGCCATCTTCAGGCTGTCTTGAGGCCTCTTGGAGGTCCGTCGGAGGCTATATTGAGCTATGCTCGGCCTCCTGGGAACATTTTTGGGGGTAGGTGGAGGAAGAAGAGGAGGAGGAGGAGGACGAGGAGGGTGAGGAGGAGGAGGAGGAGGAGGAGGAGAGGGAGGGGAGGAGGAGGAGGAGGAGGAGGAGGAGGAGGAGGGGAGGAGGAGGAGGAGGAGGAAGAGGGAGGAGGAGGAGGAGGAGGAGGATGAGGAGGAGGAGCAGGAGGAGGAGAAAGAAACAGAGACACGGAGGAGGAGGAGGAGGAGGAGGAAGGGGGGAGGAGGAGGAGGAGGAATGGAGGAGGAAGGAGGGGGAGGAGAGGGGGAGGAGGAGGAGGAGGAGGAGGAGGAGGAGGAGAGGAGGAGGAGGAGGAGGAAGACTGCGGCACGAGGAAAACTGAGGAGGTGGAGGAGAGGAGGAGAGGAGGAGGAGGAGGAGGAGGAGGAGGAGGAGGGAGGAGGCAGAAAAGGAGGAGGGAAGCAACGGACGATGACAAGGAGGATGAGAAGCCGGGCTTTGGATACATGTTGTCGTGGGAGGTTTTTTGGAGGGACAGTCGAGGCCATCTTAGGGGCTTTGTGGGGGTCCACGCGGGGCCCCTCTGGCACTCTTGGGGCTTTCTCTTTGGGCTCCCTCCTCCCGCCCCCTCCTCCCCTCCCTCCTCCCCCCCCTCCTCCTCCCTCCCCCTCCTCCTCCTCCTCCTCCCCTCCTCCTCCTCCTCCTCCTGCTCCCGCCTCCTCCTCCTCCTCCTCCTCCTCCTCGTTGGGGTCTTGGGGCCCACTTGGGGCTCCTTGGGGGGGTCTGGGAGGCCTCTTGGGCTCCATGGCTCAAGCAGAGTGGAGTTGATCCATTCGGATCCCCCCGTTGGAGGCTCAAGCATAGTGTCTTAGGGGCCCTCTTTCGGACCGTTCTTGGGGCGCTCTTGGGCGCTACGCCTCCAACCACCACGCCCTACCACACCCGCGCATACAGAAACAACGCGTGCGGAAATGCGCCTGAGCAGAACAACTCACGGCTGAAATTGTGGGGTGGTGGGTTATCTATGTTATCATATGGGGAAGAAGGGCATCCGTTAACGGATTCACGCACCGTCATGCAGGCGACGGCAATAACGCACCCCCATACTGGGACCCAGCCGGGGACGCACCGTTTCAGGTGTTTTTCAATAAGATCAACGCATGGCTGGTTATTAAAGGTGCCCGCATGGCCCCGCAGCAACAAGCTGCAACCTTCCAGCGAGGCTAGGGGCCTCGCGCGCAAGATCGCCATGCATACCTCGACAGACATCACTTCAGCGTGCACATAAGAGGCACGCGCACCGACCCTGTCACGTATATGATGTACAGTCTGATCATGCAAATCGAGCACCTCGAATATGAACGCCAAGTCATCTCATGTACTCACACCTGATCGACATCCGCGTGTCCAATAGCGAACGTATCGGCGAAACCTTTTCCAAGTTCGAGATGGCGCGCTTCGAGGCACAATCGGCTGGGTTCGACATACCCACGAACGTCCAACTTCTCTCCGCAGTGCTGCTCCGAGCTCTGGGAGTTGGCACCCAGAGGGCGGCTATGAGAGTGCAGCCGCTAAACCACCAGATGCCGCGCACTCAGGTAGACTACGAAGCCCAAATCGACTACTCGGGGGCTGTAATTTCCGTGTCCAATTTAAGTACAACAATCTGAAATCGGATTTGTGCTGCGAATTTCTCCAACGGTTGGGATGGTTCTTTCCTCATATTCCTCTTTCCCTCCGTATCGATGACCACGTAGACTTGCTGAATATCTGGGCCCAGTGGGCTGCGTTTGTCAGCTTCGGACGCCCCGAAAAACAGCCCCGGAAGGCATGGCTGTCCCCGCGAGCGTGGCAGATCATCCAGCACATAGCCCCGCTGAGGCGCGCCAGGTCTGATGCGACGAAGCTCCGACAGCATGGCTTTCTTGCTTTCTTTGTGCACTCCGGGCTGGACGCGCGTTGCAGCCGCAGGGTTAGCGGGGGACGTTCTATTTCTTTTGGGTTTGGGGCTGAAGTCCGGCGAGGATTCCAACACAGCCTTGCATCACAGCTCATCTTTTCCGGTTGCAGAAATGCACGCGCCCCATTTTAGCCGAGAGCCGGCGTGCGTATTTGGATTCTCTTGCTGCGAGTGCTTTTCGTGCGATCGAGGCGCAAGATGCTCGCCAGGTAATCGCGGTGCTGCGAGCCTTGGGAGCACGCGCCACGCGGCCAAGTCAGTCTTTGTGTGACTCCTGGGACTTAAGGCGTACTCTTGTCCACAACGGAGCAAGTCAAACATGTGTGGCAGAAATATGTGCAGCAAGTGTTCCAGGGCGAGGTCGTGGACAAAGCTTCCTTTCGCCAGCCCGTGCCAGCACGAACCGTCCAAGAGTAGGCCCCACAATATCAGAGTGAGGGGGCCGAACGGTCATTCATTGTCCCTGGGTGCGTGGCTGAATGAGGAATTGGTGGTGAGAATTCTGCTTGTTGCGCTGTTGTTGTTGTTGTTGTTGTTATTGTTGTTGTTGTTGTTGTTGTTGTTGTTGTTGTTGTTGTTGTTGTTGGTTATTTGCTGTTGATTGTTGGTTGTTGGTTGTTGGTTGTTGGTTGTTGGTTGTTGGTGTCGTCGTCCCACCCGCGACCCACCCTGCGACCCACCCCGCGACCCACCCCGCGACCCACCCCGCGACCCACCCTGCGACCCACCCCGCGACCCACCCGCTACCCACCCCGCGACCCAATCGCGACCACCCCGCGACCCACCCCGCGACCCACCCGCGACCCACCCACGATCCACCCCGCGCCCCACCCGCGACCCACCCCGCGACCCACCCCGCGACCCATCCGCGACCCATCCGCGACCCACCTGCGACCCACCCCGCGATCCATTCGAGACCCACCCCGCGAGCCACTATCAAGGGAGGAAGAACCACTAGACCCGACAGTTGACGTTTACTAATACGACCCTGGGCGTGGACTCAACAGCCCTGCCTTGTTCGACTCATCCCTCGTATGCGTTTACTAAACGGCTTCGCTTGTCGGGGTGATTATTCTGGGGTGGATTTTCTGCCCTCTACACCCGCGACCCACCCGCGACCCAACAGCAACCCACCCGCGACCCACCCCCGACCCATGTGCGACCCACCCGCGATACACCTACCCACATTGGATTAACGAAAAAATTGGCGCCTGCGGCGGGCTCGTTGTATAGTTTGTGAAACTTTGTCGATTGCGGCGGGCTTCTCCAGAGTCTCGCAAAATGCCGACGTCCCCACCGCCCACTCACTCTTATCCGCATCTGCGGGGTGCTACGTTCAACTTTCCGAGCTGGCTTTTTGGCTTCTCCTCCTCCTCGTCGTCCTCCTCCTCCTCCTCCTCTGCCTCCAGCTTCATCTTGTTTTGATGTCGGCCCGGAGGCCACTCTCTGTGCCTACCGCGCCCTCGGCCGTAATAGAGGCGTCGGCCATGATGGGATATTGGAGGACTGGCTTTAGCCTGCAAGGTTTCTGCCGTCAGCGAGCGCACGAAGGCCACGGGTGCATGGCCGACTCAGCGGCGGGGGGGGCGATCCCCACAAAGTGTTTGACGGAAGGGGGCCCGCTCAACATCGACGACTATCGGAGCATTCTGTTGGCCGATCATGCCAGTAATGGGTTCACCGGAATGCTGCAGCAGGTTGTGACGTTGGCCTACGTTGCGCACCGGCCGTCCTCGCAGCACGGTGTCATCCCCGGGCGCGGCGGCGATATGGCGTCTCGCGTATTGCGCTCGCAAACGCGTGTGATTGAGTAGTGCGGCAACTTATGTACGGATGGGACTCCTGCCGCAGTCCGAGCATCGAGCCCATTTTCTGTCGCTTGGAGTCTCCGAGTCAGCTGCCGACTGAATACCCCAGTGTCTCGATCAACGCGGCCACCTTTTATATCAGTGGGAGTGCGGATATGTCGTGTGCATGATGCGAACTTTGCCTAAAAGTGTTTGGGCTGCTGTCTCTGACCTACCCACGTGCGTCACTCACGTGCGTCACAAGTCGCACTGGGGGGTGCCAGGGATGCAAACTTGGCGCATCTGAATTCAACGGTGTCTACGGCGTAGCTTAAGATTTGATTTCCAGGCAGCTCCATGAGAGGAGGGTTACTCTTCGGTTGCCCTCCCCTGCTGATCCCTGTCGGGCCCCTTCCCCAGGGGTTGTGACGACGGAGCCTGTCTTGAATGCGGGTTTCATTGACGATGAAGCCCTCGCGACAGTGGCGTCGCCCCTCAGCAATTTGATCAAACCATCGATATGATTCGCGAGGTTTTTTTACGTTTAACAATTTGCCTTTGCAGGTGAGCGCCTCCCCTGGAAAGACTGCAGACCTTTCGGGGCATCGCGACCCTAAAGCTACTGCTCGTCGCGAGGCCCGTCGTGATGCCAGTGGACAGCTGCATGTACAGGTTCTGGAGAGCTGTGCGCATCCGTGTTGTGATTTCTTATAAACATCTTGGTCTAGCCACCTCCCGTCGGGCGTGTGCCATAGATGGACGCAGGAGCAAAAGCCGGCACGACCCTGGCTGCGGACGCATCGTTGTCGTACAAAGTCTTTGGCTCATCGCCTCTGCACGCGCGCGCAATCCATACTTTATGCGGTGTTTGCTTATATTAAAGCTTTTCTTTGGAGTGCATGTGCTCGTCTCGTCGATTCGGCATTTGAAGCGACTGAATAGTGTATCCATGAAGGTGCTTCGTCGTATCTTCGAGGAGCCTCGGTTTGAGCATGTGGAGCATTCGGATCGTCAAGTGCGCGAGGCGTTGCGTCAACTTGCAATGACAGGTCTTGGCGCACGCCTTCGTTTCAAGTACTATGCCCATCTGCACGGCACCAAGCCCTCGTCTTCGCTCGCTTTGCTCCGTGCGGGACCGCGTGGGCGCACATTACCATGGATCTAAGCCTCGGAAGATGACGCTGGATTCCTTCGGCCCCACCTCCCACACAGCTTCCCTGCTTTGTCTGAGGACCCCGAGGCACGGGCACGCGTGATACTGGTGGATCTCATGTTGTTTTGCGATTCCGTGTGCGACGCCCGCGCAGCGCCGAATCCCAGCCCAGGACGAGACCCATGCATGCCACTGCGGTGCTGCATTCACTCCTGCCCGCGGCTTGCAGAGCCATCAGAGAGCCAAGCCCGGAGCTCGGCTCCAGATCTGTTGTTGTCTGTTTGGGTCGTAGTGCCCCGCCTGCGGCACTGACTGTGTCCAGCGGCTGCGATTGACTGTCCACATTTCCGATTTGAGGCGCCCGAAGTGCCGCGAGTGGATTCTGTCGAATTGCCATCGGCTCTCTGATGCCGAGGTTGCGAGACTTGATGACGTGGACTGTGTTCCCCGCCGGTCCGCGCAGCAAGCAGGGCATAGCCATCATTTGGCTATGGTTCTTGCTCGCGCTGCTAGTAGTGACGGTCACTGGCCGCGTGCGCGCCTGAATTCATGAATTCATTCTCGTTGATACCATCATGAGACTGCCATCTTTCGCCGACTATATATATATATATACATATATGCGCGCGTGGACGAGAGAGAGAGAGAGAGAAAGAGAGATGAAGATGAAAGAGAGAGAGAGAGAGAGGGAGGGAAGTGAAGGGAGGCAGGGGACGGGAGTGAAGGGGGGATCGGGCGGGCGTAGGGTGAGAAGGGGAAGGGCCTCCTCAGATATCCATGTGCCTTCGGTCCATTCCCGCCACCGTGCCGGGGTCGTGGGCAACAGGCCTCCCAGAGGTCTCTTGGAGTTTTTTTCTGCGCGCCTCTTGAAGACATCTCGGGAACCTCTCGGAGGCCTGGTGGACGCCTCTTCGGAACCTCCCTAGGGCCTCCTAAGAGCTTCATGGGAAGTTGAAAGCGAGAGATGGAGGGCAGGAGGTTTGGAGGCCGTCTCGGATATCTTCCCTGGTCCTGTGTATCTTTCTTATTTGTTCTTTCGAGTTGGGGCGTTCCCTGCACCTTAGGGTTCGACTGGTTCGTGGCCCCCAAATGGGGGCATGGAACATCATTTCTCTTGACGCTGCTCTTCACCCAGAGTACCGGTGCAAAAACCCGCCTCTGCATCGCTTCGTCTTCGCCCTCGCCATCGTTTTTCCTTGTGCCGTCCAGGCACTGGTTTTGCCCGTCTGACTCCATGGCATGGGGGTGTGGTGGAGGCGTTGCCTTAGAGAGATGAGGAGGAGGACGAGAGAAAGAGAGGCAGGTGGAGCCAAGGTGGAGTAGACCCAGAGCAAGGGGGACGAGGGAGGCAAGGTGGGGTGGCATGGTGCTTCCTTCCGGTCCTGGCCTGTGGACCCGAAGGCCAGAGGCGGCGGGGGGCGGGGCATCCTCGTGCCCGGCCCTGCCCTCGCCCCTCGTCTTGCTCCACCTCCTCCCGCCTGTGCCACCCTCTTCCTCCTTCTCCCTCCTCCCTTCCTCCTCCCCGCCTCCCTCCTCCTTCTCCTCCTCCTCCTCCTCCTCCTCCTCCTCCTCCTCCTCCTCCTCCTCCTCCTCCTCCTCTCCTCCTCCTCCTCCTCCCTCCTCCTCCTCCTCCTCCACAGCCCACCCCGTAGCTCCCTCTGCTCGGGAGGGCCTCCTCCCGCCCGTGCCACCCTCCCTGGCTCCCTCGTGCTGCTCCCTCGGCCTGCCCTGAGATCCGGGAGTTTTCTTTTTTTCGCGCCACGCGTCCTCGCCCGACTTCGGGCCCCACGGGGGCCATCGCTCAAGCAGTGGCGAAGCGTCCCGGCTCGCCTATAGCCCCACCGAACAATGTTCTAAGAACCTTGTGTGGTTCCCAGGAAAGGTTCTTATATAATATTTCTGGCGGGGTCTGGCTTGTTTTAACACATCGGCCTTATGTTCTAAGAACACTGTGTTTGTTCTGAGAACATTTTGGGGTTCTAAGAACATTTTGTGGTATGACTTTAGGAATGCCGGGACGGTCGGTCCCTGCTCAAATCGCAGATCTCACCAGGCGCGGTCCACTGCTCGCAGAGTGCCTGCTCGCAGGCGCCCGAAAAACACTCGCTTGCCTCGAAGTGCCGCGGCGGGTCAAGGCCACTTGCGAGTGGTAACTTTGCGAGTAGTGGGACGCGCGCGTCTAAGATCGATCCTGTTCGGAAAATACCGCAGAATGATGGGTCCAGGGGCGCGGGCGTGATTCTTTGCAATGCTGTTTTTTTGCGACGTCGGATCTCTGGGTGGCCTGTGGACCCACCAGCCAGCCCACTCGCGGCGAGGGTGGGGGCAGGCGAGGGACGGCCGCCTGCTGTGA